AAGCTCCGGCCGAATGCCTGCCGCGGTTGTTTCTCGCGCGACGCGAAGGTATCACGCCAGAAAAGTTATCCACCCAAACGCGAAAACTACATGAGACCTGGCCCTGCATCTATAGGACGCACGCGGTGAAGACCGCATGCTTCTCATTCCTGTCATGACCTCTCGGGTCTCAGATGCTCCAAGACGGCCCCAGGGCCCCCCGAAACTCCCTCGGGGCGGCCTGGGGGCACCCAGGAGGGTCCGCAGACAGCCCGGGAGTTCTTCGAAACGACCCACAGGCGCCCAAGAGCCCCCGGACGGCCCCAAGAAGGACCCAAGATGAGGAGCACGGAAAAACAAGCCGAGAAATCCGCAGAAATAAACAAAGAAACCCTCATAACACCCCAAGATGCCTCCACGAGGTCTTACAACGCCCCCACGAGACCACCTATAGGTCCCCCCAGACGGCCCCTAACACATCTCAACGCTGCCTCCAACCAGCCCCCGAGAGGCTCCGGGCGATGTCCCAACTACCGCCAGCGTCATCACCATTGCCATCATCATCATCTGAGTCAGCATCACCTTTCGTCCTCGGCACCGTCGACATAACCACCAGCTACATCGCCACAATCAGCATCGCCAGCATAATCATCATCATTGTTGTCGTCGTCATCATCATCGCCGTCAAGTTTTTCGTCGTCGTTATAATCGCCGTAGTCGTCATCGGCGGCCTTGTCGCCAGCGCCACCATCGCCAGCGTCGCCATCAACGTCATCATGTCGTTCGTTCCGCGCCAGTCCTGCCCACGGCGCCCCATTTCACCGACGCGCCCCCCCCCCCCCCCTCCGAATCGCATTACCCCCATGGCGAGCAAGGACTTACTGCGCGGACAGCAGGCAACAGGCGCGGCCCACAGACGCGCCGACGCAACGCAAGTTCAACAGCCAAACGCAACGCACGAGCACGCCGACGCTGGCGAGAGACGCTCTTTGACGCTCTGCGTCGTTCTGGCGCTCTTTGCCGCCGCCAGCCCCCCGGCGCAACGGCGCGGGTTCTTGCGGCCCATCCACCCTGCAGCAATCACCCCGGGGCCCACGCCATGCCCGCGCAGCGCCCGACACCGCCAGCCTCCAGGAGTCCCTGGGCATAAGTTCTTCGGGGCCACCCGCCAATCAAAAATCGCCCCAGGACCCCCCTGCCGAACTCCTCTGACACCCCGCTTCCTTGCGGATTCCCGGGCACCCCGCCGCCTGGGGGCGCGCGTTCTGCGGAGCCACCCGCCCGGCAGCGATCGCCCCTGAAACCTCCGTCGCGACAGGCGCTGCCAGCCCGCTGCAGCGCGGCTGCAAACTGCCCAGGCCCCTTCGTCGCGCCCGCCATGCCCGCGCTTCTACTTCTCGCCCCCGCGCCTCCCTGACCCCCCCGAGACTTCCCCCTATCGCGCGGGCTTCTTTGTTGTTTTCGCCGCGACATCTTGTTGCCCGTCTGCCGCGCGCTTCCGGCCGCGCCCCTCGCCTGCGTCGCACTCGTTGCAATGCCGTGCCCCGTTCGGTCTCCGCGCCGCCCGCCTTGGCAACCGCGCGCTGGGACTAGCGGCCCCGAAGCATTTCTGACGCGGCGCGCGCTTTCAATCTCCCCGCTGCGATCACTCCCCCCCCCCCCCCCCCGCGCGCACCCCCCACCCCCCGCGCGCATTCCTCAAGCTTGCGATGTATGTCGGCGACGTTCCTCCACGCCCCCCCGGAGAACGCGGCCCCTGGTTTTCCTCGCCGCACGCGGTGCAAGATTTTGCCTCCTTCGTTCTCGCTCCATCCGCGAGCTCCCCGCGCGTGCGATGCTCGTCGGCGACCTCCGCCCACGTCCGCCCCGAGAATGCGGCCTCCGACTATTCCTGGCCGCGCGCCACGCGCGACTTCGCCTGCTTCCGCCCCCCGCGCGTTCGCTTCTCATCCCCTTTCGGCTGCGGCCCGCTCGGCGCGCTCGATGCGCTCTCGCGGCCTGGGCCCCTCTCCCAACGTGGGCTCGAAATGCGACTCGCGCGGCTCCTGCAGGCCACATCTCGAACACTTTTTCTGGCCCACCTCTCGCGCGCCGCTTCCGCTCCTTCTGCTCCGTCTTCTTGCGCACGTCGCACGAGCGTTCGTCGTTATCGAAGTCGCGCCTCGCAAAATTGCTCGCGACAGGACAAGGCATCGCGTTAAATTTCTGGAAGGACCGGGCAATTGGATGGGCAATGTTCTTCGCATCTGGGAATCTAACGTCATCGCTTGAGTGGTCCCGCCTGCGGCTGGCCCCCGCCGCCCCGTTCTCCGACCACTTCGCGCTCTTCTTTTTCTCTTACTTCTGGAACCATGGACCGGGGTGACAGCGCCTCGCGCGAGCATCGCTGCTGCTTCCACGCGTCGCGCGAAACCCGCGCATTTCATTGCTCTCGCACGCGCGGCAAGCGCAAATCCATCCCTGCTCCAGCTCATCCTCCAGGAAATCCGGCGGGAGCTGGTTTGAAGTGAAACAAATGGAACTTGAGCCAAACGCCCGTGGCGTGGCATGTTGTTTCAAAACGGACTTGGAATAGCATCGCAGTTCTGCTACGCTGCATCTCCAGACAAGCACATAGGGCCCAATAACTAACGCCCCCCATCGGCCGTGAGATGCACGACGGAACCCAAGTCACAAGGGATTGTTTTGAAGAGCGTGTTCGATGCAGGGGGATGCTAGTCATGTTCGGGCATAAACGCGCAGTGGCATCCCAACCAGCGGTATGCTATTTCCAAGTGCCTCAATCAGCAAGTCATGCATGTAGGTAAGTCACACCTGCAATTGCGAAGGTTTTGAATCGCAGAGACGAGCACCTGGATATCAACTGATCCTGGGCTCATGTCCCAGACACAACAACTCGCGATGAAAAGGCGGGTTATAGTGAGCTCGCACTCCGTCGCAGGTGCCACCTTGTTTCTTACTTGAACAAGGCGTTGGTTGGTACCTCGCATATGCATGGACATGCTGTCTCTGCCACAGTTCGTTCGAACACATGCAGGGTGCTCATGGACTCCTATTCTGACCAGCTTGATGTCTCCTCGTCGCGTCTCTTCCAGTATCCCAAAACAGGTAGACTTTGATGTGTCTGACCTTTCTCCGCCCGCTCCTGCTCACCATGGCAGCAGTGACCGCCGTGGGTATCGGGGCGCTGGCCGCGCACGCCGTGGAACACGGCCTGGAACGCATCCCCAGGGCAGCGCAAGTGGAACAGGTTGCGGGAAGGGCGGGCGAGCGGCCTGACGCCCAGTCCCTGCCAAAAACAGTCCCTGGCTAGCCGTGGTTGGTGAAAAACGATGTTTTACCCGACGACGCGGGAAACATCTCAAAAGGCGAGAAGGCTTCTGATAGGCCCCGCCGCCTTCTCAGCAGGCTACTCCCTGACACTTCCTCCCAAAACGCGAAGCGGATGTATGAAGACCGACAGCCCATAGCTCTTCTGGGGTCGGCGGCAGAGGCGGCAGTTATTAATTGAATCCAAAGAGCGGTCAGAAACCCGAGGCCTTCCTGAGCCCAAAACCGGGCCTTATTTCAGCGGCTTGACTGTGGAGCAAACAATTCCATAAACATAGGAACTCGGAGATCCGCGTGGATTCCTCGGATCCGCGCTGGGGCACCCTGGCGGCGACTCCAGCGCCGCAGTTGGCGCGTTCCCCGTGCCGGGGAGAGAATCCTGTGCCGATCCAGAAAATCCGCGCGGACCTCCGAAACTTTATGTTTGTGACGTTGCTTGTTCCCCGACACAGGGAATCCGAAGTCTGCGGCCGGCCGGCTCCTGAGACGCCGGGCCCGTGTCTTGGCCTTGTCCCGTCGCCGGGGCCACTCGGGCGTTGCTGAATGGGGGGCGATGAATGGGGGGGCGAGAAACTTGCACTTTTCGTGCCCCCTTGGGAAGCCTTTAGGGTACAAAGTGTGCGCCTTGCTTCACCCTTCCATTCATCGCTCCCCCCTTGCGCACCGCCTGAGCCACAGGATCTGACCCACCCCGGCCACAGGCGAGTCTACAGGACGCAGGCAGGGAAGGCCACACGAGGAGCCGACATGTGGAGAAGCTCCGCGTTTTTTCATATAAAAAATATCTCTTCTGTTAATATATATATATATATATATATATAAACAAAACAATGTACACAAAAAAAAACGCTATGGCGTGCGAGCCCCTTCGTAGAATCGGCGGCGCATACTGGCTTCGGGGTCCCTGCGTGAAGCCGTCGTGGAATCGGAGAGCACGCGAGACCCAGGCAGGGTGCTTCCCGCCGCCTTACGCCGACCCTCCGCTGGCGGAGCCGCCGCCGCTTTACGGCCGCCGCCTTCCGCCGAGGGCGGGGCGCGAAGTCGGCCAGGCCCTCCCTGACGCGCGCCAAAGGAATAATGAGATGCCTGGATGTCACGGTTTCGGGTGTCCTCTCGTCGCTTTCCGATGACGTCGCAGGCTGTCGAAGAGCAAGGCCAGTCGGACCGAGCACATTTCATCGAGGGAGGGGTCGCCGCTTTGGGCGCGTGGACGAATCGGTCGCCGATAGACGCAGATATGCGCATACATCGGCTCGCCAGCGAATCGATCAAATCGTCGGCAACCCTGCCCTCCTACTCCCTCCTCTCCGCCTCCTCCACGTTCCGCTGCTCCTCTTCTCCTGATCCCTCCTCCTCCTCCTGGCTCTCTCTCTCTCTCTCTCTCTCTCTCTCTCTCCTTCAATCTCCTCCTGCTCCTCTATGTGTGCCGTTCCAGTTGCAACTCGGATTCTCAGCCTAGCAACGTCCTCCCTACGCATTCCTCCTTCCCGCCTCCATTCTTCCCTCCTCCACCAGAAGACCCTCCTCCCTAATCCTACCCTCCTCCCTCCCTCTTTCTCATCATGCCTCCTCCCCGTCCTCCTCCACATTGCACCATGTCCTCCTTCTGCTCCTCGCACTACAAATGCTATTCATCCTTCTCCCACCCTCGTCGTCCTCCTCGTCTCCCTCCTCCCTTTAGGGCCAGAAGCATTCCTCATTATGTGCTTGTTCAACAGGATCACCGCCGGGCCGGAGACGCAATAGAGGGTCAGAGCGGCTAAAACCTTGCAGCCAGAAGAGGGGACGAGTGGCTAGGACGATAAATGGCGACAGGATAAGCAGGAAGAGAGGCAGGATGAGGAGCAGCAGCAGGAGAACGGGGAGGATTGGGGAGTAGGGGGAAGGAGGCGAAAGAGGAAAAGGATGCGGAGTGGGGAGAGGAGGGAGGGAGGGAGGGAGGGAGGGAGGGAGGGAGGGAGGGAGGGAGGGAGAGGCAACAGGGAGGTGCCAAACTGGGTGCGCTCGCGCCATATCTGACATCCTACCACTCCGACCCACCCCTGCCCATTCGGTTCAGTCTCTTCTTGATCCGCCTGCGCATGCCATAGCGAACCTGGAACTCCAGAACAGACCCATCGTGTTCTGCGCAAGCGGAAAAGGAGAAGCTGTGTATGGTGGAGGAGGAGGAGGAGGTGGCGGATGAACAGGAGAATGAGCAGGAGGAAGAGGAGGAGGAGGAAGAGGACAGGGGTGAACAGCAGCAGCAGAAACTGGAGTGGAACTAGCGGGTGGAGCAGGAGGACCAAGGGAGGGCGACGAAGGGGCCCGCATTGCACTCGAGCCTGGCGCCGTCCTGCAACTATCAGCCTCGCACGGCTCGAACATGCTGGCATCAACTCCGACACGCGCACAGAAACGCGAACGACGAAACGAACGCTCGGCAAAACCAACTCAATATTGAACTTGACATCAACAACAATGCGGCGAAGATGACCCGCGTGTCGTCTGGAGCGCCTAGCCTTGCAGAACGCCCGATCGGGTATGAGAAATTTCGCATCCGCGTGGCAGAACCAGTGAAGCGCTCCTGCGAGCTGGCAACTGTGTTGCACTACGGATGTGTAAAGTGTGTCCCACTGTACGTCGAACTATGCCGACTCGTCCCAGACTTCAACCCGACGACGTGACTTTCGAATGTGCAGAGCTAAGCGTCGTCGCCGTGGAAGCTGGCAACCAAGCAACATAGCAACGGACAGAGGGGATTCCCGAAGTGGTTAGAGCAAATATGAAAGCGTCAGGGCAAGGATGAGATGGGGAAGGAGGCGGAGAACTATGAGGAGGACTATAAGCGGAGGAAGAGGATTGGGAGGAGGACTGGGGGGAAGGAGGGGAAGGATGACAACGACGGGACGGAGATCTTCATGACCTTGGTTGGTCGACGATGCTTCGTTCACAGCTCGTGCCAATGGCCAGACATGACAGAACGACGCGTCCAAGATCGGGGGCCAGACCCCAGATGCCCTCCACCCTCCCTCCTCCTCCTCCTCCTGATTCTCCCCCTGCTGCATTACATGATGGACTACGTCCTCCGACGCATTCTTCCACCTCGTCCTTCTCCATGATTGCACCGTTACACTCATCCTTCTCCTTCCTCCTTCCTCCTCATTGCCCTTTACCTTCCTCGTCGGCCCTTTCTGTGTGTAATGTGTGTGCGCGAGTGTGTGCGCGTGCGCGCAGCTTGTGTGCTCGCGCGTGGGTGTGGGTGTGCGTGTGTGCGCGCGCGCGTGTGTGTATGTGTGTGCGTGTGTGTGTGTGTGTGTGTGTGTGTGTGTGTGTGTGTGTGTGTGTGTGTGTGGGGGGGTGTATGTCTGTGTGTGTGCGCGTGTGCTGTGTGTGAGAGGAAAAAGAGTGTGTGTGTGTGTGTGCGTGTTAAACAAGAAGAGAAAGGGAGAGAAAGAGAGAGACAGAGAGACAAAACACAAAAAAACAAACAAAAAGTATATATATATAGAGAGAGAGAGAGAGAGAGAGAGAGAGAGCGCACCGTGCCCCGCAATAGTGGAAACCGCGTGTGCCTCCTTGGCTTCTGCGCGTGCCTCCGCACGTGCACGGCGCCGTTTTTTTGTCGACACCCGTCCACCGCTGGTCGCTTGGCCCGTATCGGCACACGCTCGGCGGCAATCAGCTTAGCACATCCCGCCAATGCCATGGCTGCGTTGGGCCAGCCAGCCGCGAAGAAAAAGGGCGGCGCCCTGCACAGCCCAGCTTCTTTCTCTCCCGGTGGCGCCGGCGTGCGGCCCCCGGGCCTGCAGACCCCCTTTGCGCCGCCTTGCCAAGAAACCAATTCGTGGTAGGAGCGTCCTGCCACCGCGTACCCCTCGTTTGGAGTCACCGGCGCGCCTGGGGGAGAAACGCATGAAGCGTCTGCGAGGGCGCGCGTATATGCGTATATGTCTTAACCAGGATCTGCATGCAAGTGCGGGTCCCGCGTCGCACGACGCGCAATTGCATCAGCTTGGCAATGGAGGGACCAGCATGTCCGCGTTAGTTTATGGCGCGCCCGATTTTTATCACCAGTTGCAACTTCTATCTGCTGGCTGTGGTCATGTGCTTGCCGCGCACTGGCAAGACACGCGCGTTCTCCTCACAACGTGTGTGTGTATGTGTGTTGTGTGTGTCCTTGTCTGTGTGTGTTTATATAGTGGGCGTAGCCCGCCTTCGTGCCACGTGATCCGCCAGCAGCATCCAATCGGCACGCCAGGATAGATCAGGCGTGTGTATGTGTGTGTGGGGTGGTGCTTGTATGTACCGTCTGCTTCGGTCGGGCTCTGCCTGTTGCTCACCACCTCTTTCGGAATGCCGTTGCACTTTCGCACTGCGCCTTTCTTGCTTCTCGCAGTGCACGCCTGCGATTGCCGGCCACTCTTCCCCTGTCCCCTCGTCCCCTCCCCTCGGGGTCCCAAGCGCGTGACCCGGTCAATTCCCTATGGGGGGACCCCTGGTCCCCATGCCGCGTGATCTGGCCTGGCCGCGCGCGTGCTCCCGTTTGGCTGCCTACGCCGCGCCGCCGCGCGCGTGGCCGTGACGTCCAAAAAAGAGAGTGCGTGTGTGTGCGTGTGTGTGTTTCCCGCGCCCCGTTTAGCCCTTGACCGGAAGGGGCCCGCTCCCGACCCGCAGACCAAAAACGTGTGTGTGTGTGAGTGTGTTTGTACGTTGGTGTCAACTATATGGTATCAGCCCGCTCCCCGCTGCGGGCAGCGCGAGGCCAGCCTCGATGACGTTGACGGCGGCATGGCTGTTGACGTTCCTGCACGGCTCATCCCCCTTCTGCCCTCTCCTCCTCAGTCCCAACCTTGTCCTCCTCCTCCTCAGCCTCCATTCTCTTCCTCGTCCGCCTCCCCCTCTTCCTCCTCCTCCTCCTCCTCCTCCTCCTCCTCCTCCTCCTCCTCCTCCTCATACTCCATCCTTATCCACCTCCCTCCTCGTCCTGCCCCGAGTGTAGAAGTGAAGAAGCAGGATGATGATGACGATGATGATGATGATGATGATGATGATGATGATGATGATGATGATGATGATGATGATGACGCGCGGTGAACCGCGGGTTTGCTGGCTGGGTTTGGCTTCCGTTCAACGCTTGCTTACGCAATCATTGCTGTATGACTGTCGAGACAAATTTCTTCAACAAAAAGGTTGAGCCAGCTGTTGTGACGCATCCTGGTCTCTTGTTTCTTCAGGCTCATGACGAATCTAAAACCCTGCCCCCTGCCCCAATGGCCCACAACTCCAGTTCTAGAGAGCCCTTGACCATGTAGACATTTGAATGACACCGATTCGCGACCCAATGGGGGTCAAGGGATGTACGTATAAAAAGAGGAGGGGGGTGGATAAGGACAGCAAGACGGCGAGGAAGAAGAGAAGCGAGGAGAAGGAAGAGAAGATACGGGAGAGGTGCAGAGAGCAACATGATAAGGAGTGAGGTGGGAGGAGGCGGTCAGAGGAGGAGAGGGGGAGGGATGACGAGGCAGAGGAGAAAGGAGGGGAAAGGAGGGATAATGATTAGGAGGGCGACTTAGGAAAGGGCATGTCAGCGATCTGGCTGCTGTGCTCCTTTCCAAGCTCATGCTCCTGGTCATAGCGCACTCTCTTCTTCCCCCTGTCCCCTCTCCCTCATCCTCTTCCTCCTCCGACCTCTACACTTTCATCAAGCACCTCCTGCTGCGCAACGCCACGCTTAGACGCACCCGCCAATTCGGCCGATTAGGAGCAGGAGGAGGCGGTTCTAGCTTCTCCTGCTCCTCATCCTCTCTCTCTGTTCCCCTCCTCCTAACTCTCCCTCCTCTTTATTTTTCCTTGTGTCTATCTTCATCATCCCCTCTCCCCCTCTCCGCCTCTTCCCCATGCTCTCCGGTGGGGGCCAAAAATGCCAATACCGCTACTCCCCAGAACTCTCCCAAGGTGCGAGCTGGCCAGTCGCTCGAGGAGAAGCAAGCCGTTAAGACCAGGACTCCCCAGGACGAGCAGCGGTACCGGTACCCTCCCAGGAACCTCCGAGCGCCCGCCACACCGTTCGAGGAACAAAACAACTGCATAAACAGAAACTTTCGAGGATTCACGCGGATGGCTCTGGATCGGAGCTGGCCCCCCTCCGCGCGCCAGGGGCATCGCCGGAGGCGGCGCTAGAGGGACCCAGTGCAGATCCAAGAAATCCGCGCGGAGCTCCGAGGAGAACTACGTCTGGGCCGTTTTTGTTTATCTTCGAACCCGAGGGGGCGGGTAGCAGAATCGATAGCTTGCCTTCCTCTGACTCTCCCCCTGCTCCTCCCTCCTCCCCCCTCGCGCTATCCCTCCTCACCCTCCCGGGAGCCTCCTGTACGCCTGTCGCATCTTGTCGAAGCTGAGGGCCATGACCGCGACCACTGGCAGTATCTGGCTAATGCGCCCCCCAGTCGTGAGGTGGCGCTCCTCGGTCTCGCGGCGCGCACAGAGGGGTAGAAGGCGGCCGCTTCTTGGAAGTTTCTTAGAAGGCGGCAGCTTCTTGGAAGGTGACGGCCTGACGTCTGGAGCTGAGACCCGGGCCTTCTAAGAAGCAGGGGTGCTTCTTGGCAGCCTTCCCCCTGCTCTCCCCCCCCTACTCCCCCCTCTGCGCGTGCCCGATCGGTGGCGCGCCCCCCCCCCCCTCGGGCGAGCGGGGAGCGGGCAGCAGGCGGTGCCGGCCGGCCGCCCCGCCAGCGCCGCCCCTCCCCCCGCAGGCCCGGCGCTGCACTTCTCTGTCCCGCCGGGTGTCGTCGCCCGGTTTCGGGCCGCGGGCCGCAGGGAGGCCACCCGGGACGCACGCGCGCAGGCACGTACATGAACACGGCCCCCCAGCCCGCGGGGCCAGCCTCGTGTTGCGAACGTTCGCGCAGTGCGTGCTTTCGACGGTGGGTTCGTACACATGTGGGCAGGCGTCGAGAGCAGGAAATCCACCCTCATCAGGATCCCTCCGACAAGCGAAGCCGTTCAGCAAACGCACCCAACGAAGGAATCGAACAGGGCAGGGCCGCTCAGTAAACGGGCAGGGCAGGTGGGTAAACGCCTATTATGGGGTCGGGGTGGTTTTCGGCCCTTGAAGGTGGCGACATCCGAACCCTACCCCCACCAAGCATCGGTGCTCCAGAATCGACTGGAGGCGGGTGCAGGGCTCGAACTTCGCCACGCGCTCGACGAATTCTGAACCCTGCCCCTGCCGCCCATCGGGTTGCCTCAATCGTTGATCGGCGAAGGTACGGTTCGGATTTCGCCAGCGACATGGGGCCATCACAGATCAATCTGGCTCAAGAAATGCCGCAGAAAGACACGGTCTAAGGCTCCCGTCGTGATGTTCTCAAGGGGTTTCAAATGCTCTTCACGTCGGACGCGAGGGTAGGAGGCAACTCTTAGGAGGCCTTCGTGGCTATGGGGCCAGATTTCGAACAATGGCATATACGTCGTTCATGTCTAATCGTGCTGATTCCCCATATCCTAAGATGGGGTTCTTGTTACTTCCTCTCCTCTTCCTCCTCCTCCTCCTCCTCCTCCTCCTCCTCCTCCTCCTCCTCCTCTACTCAGGCTTGCTCATACCCAGACTTTCTCATACACAGACTTATGCACACTCAGACATTCTCATACTCAGACCTACTCATACTCAGACTTACTCATACCCAGACGTACATACACAGACTTACTCATACACAGGCATACTCATACTCAGACTTACTCATACCCAGACGTACTCATACACAGACCTACTCATATTCAGACCCACACATACTCAGACCGTCTCATAGTCTGAGTTACTGAACGCACGGCAGATTGTGGGGATGTCTCACGCGGGGCGCTGGTTTCAGCACTCCTAAGGGGAGCCGCCAGGTGGTATATCACGGGCCCGTTCGCGGCCAGTTTGTGGGGATGTCTCTGGCGGTTTGCTCGTTTTCATGTCCAACATCCTTGGCTTTCATAACAGATTGTGAGGATGTCTCAGGCGGGGCGCTGGTTCCAGCAGCCCTAAGGGGAGCCGCCAGGGGGTATATCACGGGCCCGTTCGCGGCCAGTTTGTGGGGATGTCTCAGGCGGTTTGCTCGTTCTCATGCCCAACATCCTTGGCTTTCATAGCAGATTGTGAGGATGTCTCAGGCGGGGCGCTGGTTTCAGCACCCCTAAGGGGAGCCGCCAGGGGTGGTATATCACGGGCCCGTTCGCGGCCAGTTTGTGGGGATGTCTCAGGCGGTTTGCTCGTTTTCATGCCCAACATCCTTGGCTTTCATAGCAGATTGTGAGGATGTCTCAGCGGGGCGCTGGTTTCAGCACCCCTAAGGGGAGCCGCCAGGGGGTATATCACGGGCCCGTTCGCGGCCAGTTTGTGGGGATGTCTCAGGCGGTTTGCTCGTTTCATGCCCAACATCCTTGGCTTTCATAGCAGATTGTGAGGATGTCTCAGGCGGGGCGCTGGTTTCAGCACCCCTAAGGGGAGCCGCCAGGGGGTATATCACGGGCCCTTCGCGGCCAGTTTGTGGGGATGTCTCAGGCGGTTTGCTCGTTTTCATGCCCAACATCCTTGGCTTTCATAGCAGATTGTGAGGATGGAGGAAAGGGGGAAGGGAGGAGGAGGAGGAGGAGGAGGAGGAGGAGGAGGAGGAGGAGGAGGAGAAGAGGAGTAAGAGTAAGAGGTGGAGGAGGAGGAGGAGGAGGAGGAGGAGGAGGAGGAGGAGGAGGAGGAGTAAGTAAAGAGGTGGAGGTGGAGGAGATCTTCGTCGGGCCTGTCGCCAACGTGGACGGGCTATTATAGTCAAGCGCTCATGAACAGACGCTCACTACGGCATAAGATGAAACATGAGATGCACATATGGGGAGCTCCACGAAGTGAGTAATTTCTAATTGTTCTCGTTGTTTATTGTTCCGGCCAGGAAGAGGCCCAGGATATACGAGAGAGCGTGATCCACCGCGGATGTACTGTGGAAAATTCCCCCCCTTCTTCCGGAACCCCCCCCTCTCCGAAAATCCTCCCCCCCTCCCCCCGCCCCCCCCCCCCCCCCTCACCTAACCCCCCCCTCCCCTCCGCAAAACCGAGGGGGTCACTACCGGTTCGAGCCCGGGGGGGGACCCCCCCCCCCCGAAAACCAGAGAGGGGTGACTCCGGTTCAAGCCCCCCCCCCTCTCCGGAAAACTAGGGGGGGTCACTAAAGCCCCCCCCCCTCGAAAACCGCGGGGGGGGGGTCACTACGGGTTCGAGCCCCCCACCCCCCTTTCGAAAACCAAGGGGGGTGCCTACCGGTTCGAAACCCCCCCACCCTCCGGAAAATCGGGGGGGGTCACCACCGGTTCGAACCCGCTCCCTCGAAAACCGGGGGGGGGTTCGAACCCCCCCACTTCCCCCCTTGAAAACCGGGGGGCGGTCACTACCGGTTCGAACCCCTCCCCCACTCCACGCTCACCGCCAGCACACAACTCTGGGTCCCTACCGCCGTCCGCACCACATCCCCCACTGCTGTCCCCAGCACCACTGTCCTCACCACCAGTGTCCCCACTGCTCCCACCACCGTCACCACTGTCCTCACCAGTGCCCTCACCACTGTCGCACTGTCCCGACTGTCCCCACCACTGTTCCCACCACGGTTCCACTCTCCCCACTTTCTCCACGGCCCCAACCACTGTCCCACTGTCCCCGCCGCTGTCCCACTGTGCTGTCCCACCGTCCCCACTGTCCCTGCCCCATTGTCCCCACTGTCCCCACCACTCTCTCCACTGTACTACTGTCCCACCACTGTCCTCACCACCGCCTTCACCACTGTCCCCACCACTACCGTCCCCACCACTGTCCCACTGTCCCCACCACTGTCCCGCTGTCCCCTCACCACTGTCCCCACCACCACCGTCCCCACCACTGTCCGCACCACTGTCCCACTGTCCCCGCACCACTGTCCCCACCACCACCGTTCCCACCACTGTCCCAACATCCCCACCATTCTCCAACTGTCCCGAGGAGCGGGCGTCGTTTGCCGGCGGCGAGGAGGGGGGGGGGTTCGAACTGGCTGGCAATGACACCCCTCCGGTTTTCGAGGGGGGGGGTTCGAACTGGTAGTGACCCCCCTCGGTTTTCGAATGGGGGGGGAGGTTCGAACCGGTCGTGACTTCCCCCCTTTTCATGATGGACTGGGGGGGGGGGTCGAACCAGTCGTGACCCCCCCCCCCGGGTTTTCGAGAGGGGGGGAGGGGGGGGGGGGACGGGTTAGGAACCCCCAGTGACCCCCTCGGTTTTCCGCCAGCAGCGGTAGAACACGCTCTTTCGAACAATTAGAAATGAAAGGATCTTGACACCCCAGAGAATCAAAGAACTTTTGAAGAATAAGAAGTGGACAGTGGCATACAGATAGGCTTGCGGAGGCCCTCGCGACTTGCGTAGGGGCCCACAGGCCGCGCCTCCGACGCCGCCCCCTGGCGCGCTGGCGCATAGGCCCTCCCGCCCCGCCAGCCTGACAGGTGCCTTCCCTGGCCACCCTGACGCCGTGGCCGAGAAGGCCCGTGTGGGTGGGTCGGGAGAGTGGTGACGCGGGGAGGAGGGAGGGAGGGAGGAGGATAATCCCACGAGCCGACCAGCCCTTCAGGGCGCGAGTGGTTTAGAGAGCTTATTTTTTATAATTTGTCTTATCAGGATTAGTCTTCTTTATTCTTCCCTTTCGGGAAGGAGTTATCACTGCTCCCTATTACGATACCCCCCCCCCCCCCCGGCCAGCAGCCAACCCGGAACAATCAGGAAACTATGATCACCCCCACCCACCATCCCTGTTTAAAAAAATGTAACGCACTCTGCCTCCACATTTGGAGCATGCGCGGCCGCCCCGCGACCACTTTGTATTGGTCTTTTACAAGGACGCGCGCAGGTGGAACCCCTATTGGTTCTCAGTGGCTGACACACCTGGCGCGGCTGGAGCACGCGAGCGCTGGGCGCACGTGGAGCACGCGCCGCACCTGGCGCGCCTGCCACGCTTGGGCCTCCAGGGTGTCTGGTGCATCTGGAACCCGTGGCCTCTGCGGCGTTCTCACGCGATATGCTGACACCCGGGTGTTACTTTTGTGTTTGAAGAAACGGTGCGAGTGAGCAAGACGGCTAACGGACGGGTGGGTAGCTTAATCACTGTTCCCTATCAATAAACACCCCCTCCCCCAGGCGACTGGGGGCCAACCAGGGTCCATGCCACCCCCCCACACCATTCCTTGATAAAAACAATGCAAACCACACTCTGCCTCCAAAGTCGGAAAATGCGCAGCCAACCCGATGCGGCCCCCCCCCCACCATCCCTGTCAAAAACCTATACATAGTACACTTGGCGGCGGCGGCGGCGGCTGCGGCGGCTGCGGCGGCGGCTGCGGCGGCGGTTTGGCTGCGGGGGGCGGCGGCGGCGGCGGCGGCGGCGGCGGTGGCGGCAGCGGCTGCGGCGGCGGCGGCGGCTTGGCGCGGGCGGCGGCGGCGGCGGCGGCGGCGGCGGCAGGCGGCGGCGGCGGGCGGCGGCGGCGGCGGCGGGCGGCGGCGGCGGCGGCGGCGGCGGCGGCGGATTGGCCCCCAGTAGCTGCCCATCCAAAGACGACTGCTGAATATGCCCAGGCTCGGGCCAGACTCGGGTGCTACGTATGTGTTGGGAGGGCGGGTGGGAGTGAGCGAGACGGCTTGCGGGCGGGGAGGGGGTCTTGACCCCTCCCCCTACCCCCTCCCACTGGACGTGGACGGGGCGTTTCGCGAGGTGTTCGAACGTGCAAAATGGCATCGGCGAGGAAGCACACATAGAAGATTGAACATGGTTTTGGCCACGGGTTGGCCTCCTCGGGAGACGGCGCTCATTAAGGAGCTCCCCTCATTCGGTCGATCTCGTCCAAGATGACCCCAAGCTGGCCTCCGAGGCCCCCAAGGGTGCTCCAAGAGGGCTCCGAGAAGTGGCTAGAAGGCCCCAAGAGGCCATCAAGAGGCCCCCAATATGCCTATGCCCCTCAGAGGCTCCCAAGAGGCTCCAAGAGGTCCCCCAGAGGCACCCACGACGCCTCATGAGGCCTCGGCGAGAAAGGCAATCTCGCTGATTATACTCAGGTGTTGGCCACATGTTGGCTTCTTGGGAGGGGGACCCTAGGTAAGGAGCCCCCCTCCTTTGATCGATTTCTCCCGAGATGACACCCGAGGTTCCGAAGGTTGCCCCAAGCTGCCCCCGAGAGGCCACCAAGATGCCCCCAAAACACTCCTAAGGGACCCCAAGGAGGCCCCCAAGAGGCACCATCCCAGAGGCACCCAAGACGCCCCAAGATGCCCCCGGGACTGCCAAGAGAACCCCAAGACGCCCCAAAAGGACCCCAAGACACTCTCGACAGAAATCCAAAGAGACTCCGGGAACCCAAGAGGCCTCTTGCCTCCCTGCTCGCCCTCATCCTCATCCTCTTCGTCCACATCCACCTGTTCCGCCTCCTTCCTCGTCCCTCCTCCCCCTCCTCCTCTCCTCCTCCTCCTCCTCCTCCTCCTCCTCTCTCCTCCTCCTCCATCATCATCATCATCATCATCATCATCATCATCATCATCATCATCATCATCATATCATCATCATCATCATCATCATCATCATCATCATCATCATCATCATCATCATCATCATCATCATCATCATCATTCTCCTCCTCCTCCTCCTCCTCCTCCTCCTCCTCCTCCTCCTCCTCCTCTTGTTCCTCCTCCGATTCCTGCTCCATCCACCCTCTCTCGAGGCACGACGTCTTGCTCAGCCCTTTGTTCCACTGCATTCTCCTCCACATCCCTGATCAGGGCAACCCGTATGGGCATCGTTTCAGGATGGGCTGTTGGTATTGCGCTAGGGAGGAGGCACAGCGCCCGAGGGAATGCTGCCTCACTGAAAGTTGCCATCTGTGAGCCCGCAGTCACCGGGCTGGGGAGGACAGCATCAAGCGGCAGCCTTGGGGAACGGGGGCATGGCGGCCCAGCTCGGCATGATCACCATCGCGCGGCAAAATGTCGCCAGTTGCTTCAGGTGTGCCCGACTCCAGGAACCCTGAGTCTGAAAACGCTGAGGCCTCAGCTCGCTTCCGCCGACTTTTTCGCTGGATGACCGCCGCCGTCTCATGTCCGCCAGCCTCCGCCGGTCATCCGCCAGCCTTCCGCCGGGGGTTGCGACGAACGGAGGGCGAGACCAAGCCGCGCGCACGCGGGGAGACGAGGCCAGATCGGCGGAGGAAGGGCAACGTGCTCGCTCTGGGGATCTCCCTGGCGCCACACGCTCCACTCATCTGTCGATGCTGCGTCGAACGCCCGTCGCTTCGAGTCGAACTTGTCCCCCAGCCTTCTGAGAAGTTTCCTAAGCCATCCCCGAAAACACCGAAACCTGCTCAGAAGGCGCGAGGGCTCCTGAGAACTCCCACCGCCTTCTGAGAGGGTCTCCTCCTCCTCACTCCCCCCCCTCGCCCGTCGCCGATGAGTGGAGCTAGGGTCGAAGAGGTGCGCCTGGTGGGTCCCAGCAGGGCCCCCCCGGAACGAGGCCCTAAGGAGGGGAGAGGGTCCGAGAGCACCAGCCGCCCGCAGCCCGCGGCCGATGTGCCCGGCCAGCCCAACGTGCGCCACGCCGCCGCCCGCGCTCACACCCGCACGGCAACGGCTAACCCCTCGAGGCGGAGCGCTCGAGAACACGGCGCGGACGATGCCTCCATCTCCTGGTCGAGGCCGCCCACGGCGACGGCGCAGCCGAAAACCGACCTAACCCCTCGAGGCGGAGCGCTCGAGAACACGGCGCGGACGATGCCTCCTCCTCCTCCTCCTCCTCCTCCTCCTCCTCCTCCTGGTCGAGGCCGTCCACTGCGACCTGACCTGACTGCTGTACCGTGCGCAGGGGTGGCAGCGACCGCAGCTTCATGGTCTGGCACTTGCCCCCGGCAGGTGTGCAGCGGGCATTCGGGAAACCAAGAGGCACAGATAACGCCACTCCTTGGACCTCTCCTGGGGTGCTTTCTGAACAGAATTTCGAGGCGAATCCAGCGGTGACGACGAGGGCCTCCCGGGAGACCGGACAAGTGGAACACGGGCGAAGGGTAGCGCTATGGGTGCCGTTTCCTATCGTGTCCTCCCCGGGGCCTGCAAGCCAAACCCCAGACGGCCGAGCGCGGTGCCGGGAGCGACTGCCGCTTCAGCTGCGGCTCGTCCAGGATGGCCGTCTTGATGAAGAGGGACCGCCTCCGCAGGCCGCGGGGGCCCGAGCAGGGACACACTCGATGAGAAAACGATGTTGTAATTCGGCGACGCAACCAATAACCTATACATAGCCACTGCTCCCTGGCCAGGACCATACTGAACCCAACAACGGTGTATACAACACGTCTTCCTGGCCCGGCCAGGAGGGCGTATGCACAGCTTATGGGTTCGAGTGGGCCTGGCCAGGAATCAGTGGATATGTATCGATTTCGTCGCCCGATCATGGAGGGCCACTTCGTGGAATGGCCACCAGCAGTTGAAGAGGACGTACCCTGCACCTACGCTGAGACATGACGCCGAAAGCAATCCAGGGGCAAACTCGCCATCGAGCCTCCAGCGTCATGCGGTGCTCCCGGCCGCCTGTGGGCCCCTAGAGCCATCGGGGGGGATGCGAAGCCTCCGTGGGGCACCTGCTGGCAGGCCCGTCTCTCACCTGGCGAGCATGTTGTACATGTCGGCAGCGGGGGAGGAGGGGGGGGAAGGCGAGGGAGAATGAAGAGGGGGGACCAGCTCAGGGGAAATGTCGACATGGCATCGGCAATACATCTCGGCAAACGCATGTGAACCCAACCCCTGCAGGTCAGATTTCTGAAACGCCGGTTGGGGTTCAGAATCTAAAGGCTGTCTGCAGCCAAGTGATCCCCAGCGTGGGTGTCCCATACCCCAGCGTCGATGAATCCCGCAGGGGTAGGGCTCGTGTTTGGTCGCAGAGTCAGGGCCCCGATAGCGAATCTGGACATTCCTGGGCGGGGCGAGCTATCCGGCCCCTTTCGGCGATGAATGGGCGGTTGGGGGTCGATGCATCCCCCCTGAGCCTATCCCCGTACATGCAAACTTGCTTCATGAGGGGGGGCTCGACCTCCAACTTATGGAACACACACATACACAGACGTACACATACGCACGCACGCAAACGCACACGCACACGCGCACACACACACACACACACACACACGCACGCACGCACCCACGCAGGCAAATACCCACCCACACCCACCCACACACACACACACACACACGCGCGCGTACACACACACGCGCGTACACACACACACACACACACACACACACACACACACACACACACACACACACACGCGCGTACACACACACACGCACACAGACACACACACACACACACACACACACACACGCGCGCGCACACACACGCATACACACGCACGCACGCACGCACGCACGCACGCACGCACAAACACGCACGCACGCACGCACGCACGCACGCACGCACGCACGCACGCACACACACAAGAACAAAAAAAACGGAGTTTGTTCGCCGTTCTCGGCCTCCAGGGCCCTTGAGACTGTCGGAGCAGCGACTCAGGGTGAAAAGCCAGCCATGGACAGAGGGGTCGGGACACTTCTTTCGGGGGCCCTGTGATAAGCAACAACAACATACTGATCTCTGGGGAGGGGGCGGGGGCGGCCGAGAGGCATGGGGAGGGGGTCTGAAGAGAGGGAAGGAGGGGATGGCGGGGATGGGATGGCATGGGAAGAGTGGGAGGAAGGGGGAGGAGGGGGGATGGGGCTGGTGGAGGAGCAGGAGGAGGGGGAAAGAGACCAAGGAGATACTGGGAGTAGAGCAGGAGAGTGAGGAGGTGGAGAAGAAGGAGATAGAGGAAGGCGACGCCAAGCATCACGGCCACGGGCCAGGAAAGAGGGAGGGGAGAGCGGTGGGGAGCGAGAGAGGGAGAGCGAGAGAGAGAGAGAGCGAGCGAGGGAGATCACTGCTTTTGTGGAGGACGGAGGATTGGAAGTCCACGCCAACATCAACATACATCGACACTGGCCGCTCGCCGCACCACCGTCGCCGCCGCTGGAGCTCCAGCCTGCTTTCGGGCGGGGAGCGGCCAGGAATTTCCCAGAGTCAAAAGACAGCGCTCCCAGAGTCGGATGCTCGTTCTGAAGACATTCCTGGAGCCACTCGCTCCACTCATTCGTCGGTGCTGCGTCGAGCTTCCGTCGACTCTGGGCCGAACTTGAGCCGAACTAGAGTTGAACTAGAGACGAGTTTGAATCGAACAAATCCGTCAGGTGGGCCCCAGACCTGTCCCCCAAAACAAGCATCTAAACAATCAGCCTCGGCACCACTCGGTTTTCGAGGCATGACTCGGGTCTCCAGCGGTGGTTCGGGACGATCTGGGAATCCCTGGAACGCTCTCAGCGAGGCGCAGCTGCTGGAAAGCATCCCGAGGCAGGAACACCTTCAAGAGCAGTCGAAAACGTGCGACAACTTCACAGGAGGATCGAGCATGCCATGCCCATCCCAGTCCCCTCTTATTTGAAGGAGCCCAAGATCTAGATGCCGGCACTCACTCCCAGTGCTGGGGAAACCAAAAGACCCCGACACCGCTCCCAAAGACGCCGATGGCTCTCCCAAGAGACTTTAGAAAGCGAAAGCGAGGGAAGACTATGGCGGTCTCGGTACCTTGGCCCCTTAATTATGAAGAGCAAGATGTGTTGGACCACCCGCGGCGCCGAGTGGGCAGCGGAGCCCAGCTCCCGTCGTCCTCCACGAACTCTCCTGGCATCTCCGGCTGGTCGAGCGAGGCGATGAGAAGGTCGCGGCCTTGGAGCTCCGGGCGGCACGGTTTTCGGGCGCTGTCGTCGGTTCTCGCTGGTTGTCCAGCCTCGGGAGGCTCTACAGCGGCTGCGTCTCGCCGAAGGCGTTCCGGGGGTGCCCGGGTCTTCCGGAGCGGCCGCCAGAGAGCCGAGCGCTGGCCCCAAAACCAGCAGGCGCCCTGCGGGGTGTAACTGGGCCCGATCGGTCCAGCGTCAGGGCCGGCCCCCATGCCAGAGGGGAGAAAGAGCACTGAACGCGAGAGAGGCAGAGGGCGGGGGAGATGAGTGCGAGAACTCTCGGGGCACATTCTCTGTCGATCTTCGAGGGTCCTGGGGTCTGGGGTGCCCCAGGGCTTCTGTGGGCCCCAGGGCCATCGGGGAATGATTGCTTTCCGTGGGGCGCCTGCTTGCAGGCCGATGCCTTATGTGGCGTGCCTACTGTACTTCTCGCTCCTTTCTCTGCGGGGCCTGTCCCCCCTTGCAACCAGCAGCCCAATCGCCCGATGGCAAGCAAGCACGGACAGCGAGACAGCGAGGGAGAAAAGCAGGAAGAGAGAGCTGGGGCATCCCTCCCCCGGCACATCCTCGTCCTGGCCCGCGCCATCGGCATCTTGGCCGCGTGCTACCTTTTCTTTGCCACAGCTGCAGCCGCTGCTGCGGCGGCGGCCAAATGCCAATCCCGTTCTCGCTCGACCTTCATTCTGTACATCTACCTGCTCCTGCTCCCCTCGTTTCCGCCCCGATGGCGATCTTTTCTTCATGGACGATGTGTCAATAATGTTGCAATATGAGTGAGAGGGATGGGGCGCGGCGAACACCGCTCGCGAAATGGTAACGTCTCGATTTCGCCGCAGCACTGCGCTGATTAGTCCTGGACGCTGCGCTCCCCTGGGCGTCGCGCGTGTGCTTCGATCGCCAGGCCGTCAGAAGCGGAGCCGCGCCCGAGAGAAAGAAATGCCGTCCTTTCCAAATCACCATGCAACATTCGTGTGGGAAATGATTGCGTTCCCGCTGCGTGTGCGGCGTCAGGCTGTCTTCTGCAAGCTCATTTGGAAGCATGGACACGCGCCAGAAGATGAGATGGTGTCATCACATTGGTTAGTGCCACGCAGCGTTTTCCTGACTGCTACTCTCCGTTGGGCGCGGACCGCGTTGATTTCGCACGCCAGCTTGAACGAACGATGACTCAGAAGGATGGAGCGTTGCACACGCACGGGCATTCGAGCGTGCAGGACAGTACTTGCGATGGGCTCCATATTCACAAAGGTGTTTAAAGTCGCGATCCACCCATGCTGCGTTGTGTCGATATCCCATGCCAGCAAGTATGAGTGACTGCGTTGGTGTCAACCCATTCTCTCGATGAGCGACAAGCTGTTGCATGTAAATCCATATCTCCTCCTCCTCCTCCTCCTCCTCCTCCTCCTCCTCCTCCTCCCTTCCCCCAGATTGGGGCGCACACAGAAAGGTAGATTGCCGCGTTCTCGGAAGCCCTCAGAGGCTTCCACGGAAGCTTCCGGAGAAGACTGCCAGCGAGCAGCCATCCGGAGCGCAGAGCTGGCCAGCGGGGGGCGCTGGAGACCAAGCCGAACGTCATCCCGGCGGCGCGCAGGAGCTGAGACGGGAAGGCGCCCTTACGAGAAGGCGGGGAGCTCCTCGGGAGCCCGTCGGAGGCTCCCCGGAGGGCTTTTTGAACGGTCGGCGGCAACTCGTGGGAGCCTACTCTTGCAAACCGACGCTCGCCGATGCTGAATCGACTCTTCTCGACGCTAAGTCGACGCTAGCCGACGCTGAATCTGGATGTTCTTTTCGCCTACCAGACTCTCGTCGACGCGAATGCATTCTAAACGTGGAACTGCGAGGGAATGCAAGGCTCCAATGATTTGCTACCAAAGATCGAACGAAGGGGGGGAGCCTAAGAAAGCAAGGTGCGTTTTCGGAGGCCTCCCAACTGAGGTCCGAGTCGATGGGGTCGGAGGATCGTCGATGCATCGCCGGCATATCGGCGATGTATCGGCGACGTCGGAGATGCATCGGCGCCGTTGGCACCAAAAACATCTTACTCCGCATCGAGCCGCGATCCTCGGACCCCATCTACTCGGGCCCCATGTTGGGAGAACAAGAAAGTATCACTCACCAGTTCTCTCCCCCGGCGCGTTCTGACCAGGATTTCGAAGCGAATCCAGCCGTGGCGACGAGGAAAGGGCAGCGGTATCGGTGTATATGTTCCTCCTCTCACCCTGAGATCCGACGCTGCGACAGCAAATGCAGCAACACCGTGAAGAATCACGACCCGAACCCCGGACCCCATCTTTCTGCGGCACTGCTCGAGCCGGATCGATATGTGATGGCCCGGGGGCCCGAAAGGATGCGAAAATGCCCGACTGGAAAAAACAGCGACGTCAGAACCCCAGGGGACCTGCTGGGAGGCCTGGGTTCTCGGAAGCCGCGGCCTCTGTGCGCCCCCGGCGAGTCGGCCAGCTCTCCGAGCCGCTCCCCTCCGTGCCGGGCGAGAGCCAGCCTCTGCGGAGCGAGGGCGCCGACGCCGCCCGCGTCCCCAGAGGTCCGACCCCCGAGCTTCTCTCGATGCGGGGTCCCTGGGCCTGGACCTCCGAGGCACGCATCGAAAAGGCAGGGCGAAGCTCTGCTCTCGTCTTCGGCCTCCGGGGGCCCCAGCCGAGCCCGGGGCCCTGGGACCGGGAAGAGCGGACTCGGGACGCAGAAGAGGTCCCAGGGAAAGGGTCGGGACTTCCAGGGGCCCCGCACGGGACCAAAACGAGACGTCGGACCTCTGGGGAACTCCCGACCCCTTGCCCCGGGCTGGTCTCGCGCCCTGGATCTGCTTGTCGAGGTCCTGGAGCCCCGCGAGGGCCGCCAGAGGCCGAAGACGCTGAAGTCCCTCCGAGCTGCCTTTTTCGGCGGCGCGCCCGGGAGGGAATGTCGAGGCAGAAGGCGGCGGGGCTTCTCTGAAGCCCTCCAGCCTTCTGACAAGTGGCCCGTGTCGCCGGGGAAGGCGTCGGACACTTTTACAAAAGTCCCGGGGCCTCCCGAGCCTCCTGGAAAGGCCCGCCCCTTCCCGCGTGCCCCCTCAGCCTCGCCGCCGAATTCTTCAATACGTCGGAGATCTGGGTCCTCGCCGCCCCCCCCCCTCCCCCGCGGGGCCGGGGGGTAGACCGACCGAGCTCACCGCCCGCAGAGCCCCACCGGCCGCCCGCAGCCCAGGCCCTGGCCCGACCTCTGGCCAGGCACGATCTGCCCGAGGGCTGGGCAGAACCTAAGACGAAGCCAGGACGAGGACACATCTGCACGAGGATGAATCGGAAATCTCTCGCCGAGACCCGGCGGTTCTGGAGGATGTATCGGGCACCGCGGCTGCCCCAGAGACTTCCAGAACGCTCTGAGAGCGTTCCGGAACGCTCTGGAACGGATTTATCCTCGTCTCAGCCCCGCTCGACAGAACCCCTTTCGCAACAAAACACTCAGTAGGCAGAACGGCCCAGGACCGCAAGTGGGCCGCGCCGAGCGCGCGCGGGGAGCTCTCGCCGCCGTCTTCGCTGCCGCCGCCGCCGTCGCCATCTCCTTGTCAGATCCACGACGATCTGATCTTTGCAATCCTGGCGCTGCTGCTCGATGTCGGCCTTCGGCGCGGTCCACCTGCAAGCCCGCAACTCCCTCTCGGGAGCCGCAGCAAAGGCCATTCGCTAATCGACGTGGCAGGGTGGGGTGTGCCTACCAATCTTCGACCTGGACCGGACCGCGCGTCGGTACCGATCTGGGCCCCGATCCCGACGTCCAGCCGCAGGGTTACGGTCGGGAGCTTGTGCTCAGCGTACCGCAGCGGCGGTACCGGCGACACGCTGCGCCGTGCAGGCGGATATCGTGTCGCTCTGCCTCGTGGGGCGGCTGGGGACCTGGGTGGCGCCGAACCGCGGCGGGCCAGAGCCAGCAGCGCGACGCGCTGAGCAAACGGCGATGGCCGCAGAGAGGAACAGCATGACGTTGAAATTTCAAAGGTCCGCGCGGACCCCAAACATGCATGTCTAACCCGGGCAAGCCTTTAAGAACCCCCCCCCCAAAGTTACCGTTAGCACCGCACGAAGATTGAATCTTTCCAGGGGGTCGTTTTCGCAGAGCGATATCTTTAGCACCTCGCGCAAATCAAAAAACAAGATTCCGTGGCGCGCCGCGCGACGCGCTAGAAGAAATCCTTGAGGATGCCTTTGTATATGCTGTGCATTTCCTAGGACATTTCACGGACCAGCAGGGGCTAGCAAGGCTTGGCATGGGCTTGGCATGGGCTTAGCAGGGCTCAGCAGGGGGCGAGCCTGGCTTATCATTGCTTAGCAGAGCTAGTGGGAGCTAGCAGGGCTCAGCAAGACTTAGCTTGGCCTCGAGCGCTCTCTGCGGGCTCCTCCGGTGCCGAGGTAACGCTTCCAGGGTGCCTGATGCGTTATGCTTTCACCGGATGAGCGGGGGGGGGAGGGGGGGGGTTCTTCAAGGCTTGATGCGGTTATGCTTTCACTGCTGCCGCCAGATCAGGATCGGATCTGGATTCGCAGACCAAGTCCGATTTCAAACCCAGTCAGCGGATCCCTCGTTTTGTCAAGGCGGGGAGGGCAGGAAGCGCCGCTGGGGGACCAGCGACGACCCAAGAAATCCGCGCGGACCTCCGAAAGTTTGTGCTTACACAGTTTTCAATGTTGTAAGATTCGAACTCCTGGTATCCAACTCTGAGGGGAACGTTACGGGGGGACCAGCTCGGGGGGAGGAACATCGACCTGGAATCGGCGATACACCGCCGATGGATCGGCAATAGGCTGTCGATCGCAAATCCGAACGCTTCTGGGTTACCAGGTCCCCATCGGCGATGAAACGGCGATGACTGTGTGTCGATGCATTCCCCCCCTGAGCCTACGTTCGGGAACCGTGGCGGCGGCCCCGGCGAGACGCTATGACATGTGAGCTGATAGCGTGTCGCTCCGCTCAGAAGGGCGGGAGGCCGGGAAAGGCTCGGGGCGGTGAAGCCTGGGGGCCAGGAGGTGGACAGCGCGTCGGGCCGAAGCCGGGTGGGCCAGATCCGAAACGCAACGCGCTGTCCCAAAGATCCCGACCGTGTGCCCCCCTCCCCCGAGATCTCCTGCGGAGCCCCACCTGCAGGAGCCGGATCGGCGCCTCGACCGAGGCGGGCCTAGCTCTGCTGGGCGCGGGGCCGAGCTCGCAGCCGGAGCCCGCCCTGGCCTCGTCTGTGGTTCAGAGAGGGGGCCCCGAGGGAGGGGCCCCCCCTGAGGGCAGGAGAAGGGATCCACGGGTGTACTTACACTGTTTGAGGCACCTCGTCCTTAAGCCCCCTGGGGCCCGGAGGACAGGAGGGGATCCAAGGGTGGATCTCCACTGTTTGAGGCACCTCGTCCTTCGTTAGGACCCCGTCCCCCAAGACCCCATCTCGGAACCGCCGACCTCGGCGGCGGGAACCGCGTCCAGCTGCGCGACCGTCGCCAGCTGGGCGCTCCCCGCCAGCTCGCCGTTGGAGGCCGCGGCGCCGACGGCGGGCTGGCCGCCCTGGCGGTGGCGGGGGGCCAGGCCTCCTCGCCCGGCTGCCCGCAAGAGGCTCTTTCGGTCAGCCGGGCGAATCGGTTGTGTTATGCTGGGGCCTGAAAACGCTACAGTCAGGAAGCATGAAGTAGGAAGGCGTTGGAAGTAGATTGGGCATCCCCCGCCCCCTGAAGAGGAAGAAAAAGGTGAAACCACTCAATCAATGAAGTAGGAATGCGCCTAACATAGATTATGGATGAGGATCCAGAAATCTAAAACAACCTACTTTCAACGACCAACGGGTACAGATGCAAAGGCTTTGAAAGACCATGTCGACACTCTGCGAGCGGGGCGCGGCCAGCGAAAGCGGCCAAGAATGGGCCGAATGAGAAGGATGCAAGGGTACCATTTGAAAGTCGTTCATCCTTCCTATGCGGGTCGACCGTAAGAACAAAGAAATGCTTTTCAACACGCGGAGTTAAACGCAAGTGTAGAGCAATACGAGAAACACCCAGGGCAGACTTAGTCACACCAGCCCTCTGGGCGCACGTGGTCTAGGGAGGCTCCTCTTCCAACCCCCTTCTTCCCCTTCGGGGAGGGGTTTACCCTTCCCCCTACCCCCTCCCCTGGACTTGGACCGGGGGGGCGGCGAGGCGTTGGAGCGTCCAAGATGGCCCAAGACGGCTCCAAGAGGGCACCTGAGAGTCCTGGATGAGCTCCAAGCTGGCTCAAGATAGAGCACGATGCCTCAAGATGTCTCCCAAGATGCTCCAACAGGCCCCAAGAACATTCCAAGACGGCTCCAAGAAGCGTCCGAGACCTCAAAGGAGGCCCCCAAGAAGCCAAAATCCTTCAACAACCTACGGAAAGTCAATGATTTTCGCTGTCTAACGTGTTCGCTTCCAATGGCCACCCGAGGCCTCAATATGGCTCTAAGATGGCCCAAGAGAGCGCCAGGAGAGGCCCAAGAGAGCCCCAAGACGGCCCCCAGAGCGCCCAAGAGGCCTCCAAGATGGCCCCATGACAGCCCAAGAGGTCTCCAAGAGGCCTCCAAGAGGATCCGAGATGGCATCCAAGATGCCTCCAAGACGGCTGCGATGGCTCCAAGATGCATCCAAGACGGCCCAAGAAGGCCTCAAGATGGCCTAAGACGGCCCAAAAGGCCCGCAAGAGGCCTCCAAGATGGCCTAAGAGGCTTCCAAGACGTCCTCCAGAAGGGCCCGAAGAAGCCAAATAACTGGTTGTCCTAGACTGTTTGCGAGATTTTGGCATGTGCTTCTTTTGGCCCTTCGACGGTCCAAGACGGCCCAAGAGACCCCTGAGGATCGCCCAAGATCGCCCCAAAGGTTCCTTGATGACCCCATGACGGCTCAGTCTCCTCCTCTTCCCCATCCTCCCCCACGTGGTTTCCAAAGGCTTTCCAAACCGATTTGGTGAACACATGGCCGGATAGCTTGGCAAAGCTCTGGCCTCAACGTTCGGTCACACAGGCGCTTCCGATAGGGCAGGGGGCGGCGGTGACTCGCCGTAGGCGTCTTCGATAACGCCAACATTCCAAGATGCGCTGATGATTCCTATCCGCCCCCGCACGATGTTTCCAGATGCGCCAAGCCAGCGCCGAGACGCACCGACACGACTCTGATATATCACATTATGATAGAAAGCGGGTCGGCGGCAGGGGGCGAAGCCCTTATAAATATACGTATGCACACACATCGCCCCTCCCTGCCGCACCACGCGACTATTCGGTAGGGCGGAGCTGGCGTTTCGAACGAGACTGGCTCACCAGTCGGGACTGTGGAGCGTGTAGCATCGAGCAGCAACAAAGATTTGAGGGCGGTTGCTTATAACTTCAGTGTTGGGAGCCGCACACAGTCGTTGAACAGTTCGCAGCAACTACAAGGAGAGAGGATCTTCCTTGGCCAAACGTGAACCATTGCTTGAGACACCCTCCCACTGAACAACCAGAAGCTTGAACGTTTTGAGCATATGCACGGGTGGAAGGCGGCTCATTTTCAAAATGAAGTTATCGAGTGAGGCTCTTGTACGTCAAACTGCCAAGGTGTAAGCTTGTGTGACAGTTACACGAATTGGGGCAGTTCCTTTTCAAAGCGGGTCTCTCGCTGGACCCTTCATTGAACGTTGGACCAGATCGTGCCGCATCCACAACAACTCGCCAGCAGATGCAAGGCACTCCCTGGCCAAATCTGAGCCCAATCGCCAGAATGGCAGGTTTAGGGTGCTCGTCGGTCAAAGGGGCACTTCTTCCAGTGAAGGAATAACCGTGCGTGGATTCGTGAGGAGGGTCGTGGGGCAACGCCAGTATACTGCAGTATCGCTGATACATTAAGGGGGTTCACGCTCGTCTTCATCGTTCTACTCCACCTCGGTCTCCTCCTCATCACTCATCGCCTTTGCTGATATTTGTGCCTCTTTCGTATCACCCCCTTATCATAATCTCCTTGTCATCCTCCTCCTCCTCCTCCTCCATCCCTCCGAACGCCTCCAGGAACCTCCCTTGGCCCTGGAGACATACGTCCGAAGGCCAAGGTAAGCTCACAGTTGACTCTTCACCTCATCTGGTTCCCATCCTGCATCATATTATTCCTTCTCCTTTCATGTCACTTCTCCTTGTACTTTGGCTTCCTTCCTTCCATTCATCCGCCTTTCTCACCCTCCAGCTTCTCATCGTTCCTTCTTCATGTTCCCCTCTCCCCATCCACCACCGTCTTTTCCTGTCCCTGTTTGTACCTCCTCCCTTTCTCCATCCCAAATTCCTGTCCCCTCCTGCGACAACAAAAAATTGCATTCTCCTCCACCCCTTCCTCCTATTCCTCCTCCTCTTCCTCCTCTTCGTTCCTCATACCTCCTCTCTTGTCCTCGTCCTCCTCCTTCCAACCCCTTTCCCTCCTCTTTCTCATGCCCCCAGTCGCCCCTCGACTACCAGTGGTTGCCCCTCGTTCCTGATTCTCCTCCCCTGCTCCTCCCCCCCCTCCTCCCTCATCCACCCCCTTCACCTCCTCGACCTCCTCCTGTACATCATCCTTCCCCTCCCGCTCCTCATCCTCCTCCTGATCCTCCGCCTCCGCCCCCTCAATCTCTTTCCCCCTCCTTCTCAATCTCTCTCCCTCCCTCCAATGCCTCCTCCTCTCCTTCCCCCTTCCTCCCCATCACTTTCCTCCTCCTTCTCTTCCCCATTCACAGACCGTCAAAATGAGTATTCAGGACCGGTGGTAAGGACGCGAGACCCTTGGGCGGCGAAGATGGGATTTGCTGGGCGGCGAGCGAGCAGAACGAAAACGGCAGGCAAGGACACAAAGCGCACCCTAGACGAAGGCTCGCGGCCTTACTAGGCCCGTTGACTGCATGTTCTTGCCCACTCCTAGTTGTCGTTTTCAACTCACTCCCTCACGGTCCTCATCGTCATCATCCTAACGTCTCCTCCCTGCGCGTCCTCCTGCTCCAGCTCACTTGTCTCCGCCTCCCCCCTGTTCCTCTTCCTTCCTCCCCGTCATGCCATTAAATGCTAAAAGAGGCGCTCACCCTGCTGTCGACGACGGCCTCTACCTGGAGAAGCGCGATGCCGTCGCAGACGGGACCTGTTCGCAATCTGCTGCTACAGGGGGAAGGCACCAGCAACAGTTTCCTCTAAATTCCTCTCCTGCTCCTCCTGCTCCTCCTCCTCCTCCTCCTCCTGCTCCTCCTCCTCCTCCTCCTCCTCCTCCTCCTCCTCCTCCTCCTCCTCCTCCTCCTCCTCCTCCTCCTCCTCCCCCTCATCTTCCTCATCCTCATCCTTCTTCCCCCCTCCGCAGCCATTTTGGCTTAAGGTTCTGATGTTCGCGACGAACAAAAGTGGATACTGCTAGCCCGCGGCATTGCCAGGGCCTTGCGCCCAACAATCCTTCCCGCACCCCTGTGCCAGCCTGCCGGGCCTCACAGGCTCCATTGCTACCACGGGGCGCCCACGCATCCTTGTGCGGATCGCCCTCCTGCTGTCGCCATGGCATCCAGACAGCGCCGCGCAGCCCAGTCCGAGGCTTGGTACTGTAAATGGTGCATACATAAGCCGACGAATCCATCCTGGATCAATGGCACAGCCAAGAAGCTGTCTGCTGTGTGTAACTTTCCCAAGGGCTCAGTTTTCAAGGGCACGCCTCCTCCCAAAGTTCCTGTCCGTCGCGCGGATCCGATGGCAACAGCAAGGGAGAAAAAAACTGCCCCATCAGCCGGCTGAGCTCAAGAAGGAGGCGGCCGCCGCGCGTGGGGCCGCCGCTGCAGCAGCTGGTCAGCCCGAGCCTCCTTGGGCAAAGCCTGAGGCTAGTGACAAGCGTAAGCGTCTCAACTCACTTGAGAGCACGCCATTGCTGCTGGGCCCCGATGACCAGGATGACGCGGCCAACTGGACGGCTGTGCGGGACCGTCTACGAGCCGAGCTGCAAGCCGACAAGCCGATCGAGCAGAGCGTGGACTCCCTCATCGGTTTGCTCAAGAACGCCAAGGCCAAGAAGACCGTCGCCACTCAGCGCGTGGCTGTGGCTCGCACGGTTTTGGACAAGGCGCGCGAGGTGCTCCAGCAGGCGGAGCAGGACGAGGCCAAGGCAGAGCAGCTTGTTGCCGAGGCCGCCGGGAAGCTGCGGCAGACGGCGCACGCGGCGCTGCCAGCAAAGACCGAAGCCAAGCCGAGCATGGCGACGCTCACCCCAGGGCTGGAGGCGACGGTGGCTCAGCTTGACGCGGCCATCCGATCGCTCGGTGGCACGTCCCACTTCCCGGAGGATCTACAGGCCCTCGGCGCAGATGGCGGTCGAGCTCAAGCAGGCTTCTGCGGCCCAGGCGACGCCCGCTGCCGCGCCCGGGGCCCAAGAGGTCGAAGTGCCCCCTGACGCCGCCTGCCTCGGAGTGTGGGGGCTGCGTGGATGTCGATGCTGGCGCGGCTTCTGCGCGCGTGGCCCCCCTGGACGATGCGACGTGTCGCGAGCATCTCAGGGCCTGCGGCGTCGAGGTCGATAAGAGCACGGGGGGCGGCAAGCTGTCGGCCCAAGAGCTGCGAGAGCGGCTCCAGAGGCACCTTGGCTCCGCCGCGTCCGCGGCCAGGAAGCTCAAGGCATCGCGCGCTGCGGCGTCGAGTGCCCAGGTTCATCTGCGTCGCCACGATGTCGAACTTCGCACTTGCAGGGGGGGGGGCCTGCTGCCGCCCCTATCGTCTCGCATGTCGGTCGGTGTCCTGTGGGTGGAGTGGCTGCGTCTCAGCCGCAAGCGCAGGCGCACCAAACGCAAGGATCAGCCAGCAATGCCAGCCAGCGTACAGAAGCCTAGAGATGTTCGACAGCGGGCGGAGGCCATCGCCATGAAGGAGAAGATGTGCTGGCACCTTCTGGCGGTGTCAGTACCACGGTGTGGACGTCGACTGCAGCGACGACGATGTCTTACACATTGACTGTGCATGTTGGCTCACCTATATCACGGCAAAGTCGGAGTCACGGTTGGGGATGCGACGTCCGGCCTCCGCAGAGCAAGCCACCCAAGAAATGCAAGTGTGCTACGGTCGCTACGCTGAACGGCAGCAACCTCGGGCCGCGTGCTGATTATCTTGCCGATGCGTGCGCGCAGATCGTTCATGCACGAGAGGTGCCTGCGCCTGTCGACCTGATCTCTGATCGGCAAAACCAAGCGACTAACACTGGCTATCGCGGCTTATGCAGTGCTGCCATACCCAACAAGCCTGGAGGCACTGGGGCCACAAACTGAAAGGCGGTGCTAGCGCAGTCGCACATCACTGGCACGGCTCCGCCTTGCTCGCTCACGCCCGAGATAGTCCCAAGGCGAATTGTGGCAGCGCGTGTGCATCCCTTGTTGCCTGTTGGAGTTGTGCCCGTCTGTCTATTTCAAGAACGGCGAGGGGCTTGGGCCTCAGAATGCATCAATGCTGCGGCGCCCCTCGGAGTACCTCAGCGAGCTCAATGGCGCGCATGCGCCTTGGATCGTTGGAAGAGACTGGACCATGGATGCCAGCACTCTCAACCAATCGGATTGGCTTGCCAGAGAGGGAACGGTACACTTGTGTCCATCGGTTCCCGCGCGTCGGCAGGCTGCGCCAGGCCACATCTATGACCTTTTCCCGTGCTCGAGTCGGCGCCTGCCCAGGCTCGCGGCGGGGGCCGCGGCGGGCGAGGCTGCCGCCACTTTTCCACACCTGCCCGTCTCAGTTGATATGTGCAACAGCTGGATCTGGTCCTGGTCCTCGAGGGCATTGAGACTAAACTTGCGGGTCGTTGGGATGTCGTCGGGGCCCGTGCTGAGGCCGACGTGGGCCGCGGCGGCCATCGGGGGGTCCGCTGGCAGAAGCCGGCGTGGGCCCCGCCCCGAAAGAGGACGCAGAATAATCCGAGTGCTCGTGCCTGGGCCGCCGCTCTGGGTTGGCCGAACCATATCACTAAGATGCGGCAGTATCTCGCGAAGGTGGTTGGCCTCCTCCAAGGCGCCAACGCTCGTTGCGCGATCGTGCCTGTGCAATGTCCGAAGCTTTTGCAGTCCCTGGCGGAGCTTGCCAGATGCGCGGGCAAGATTGAGCGCCGCAAACACATGTTTTTGCACCTCGACGAGCCCGCCCGAAGGTTGTGGGTGGAGCGTGGGTTCACGGGGGTGGACAGGCCTGATTTCGCCAACGATGCCACCGGCATGTTCGCTCGAGCCAAGACTGTCCTCACCAGGGCTGAGAGTGCATCCTCCCACGCATGGCATACGTGGGCCCGAGAAGCCATTTCAGCCAGGTGCGCCCAGGGCGCGCATATTCTCGAATGTTAAAGCGGCGTCGACGAGATCCTCTCAGCTGGTGCCCCATCCGCCTGGATTCCGCTGGCTGGTGACGCGCTTAGGCCCTGGGCCCACGTTTGGACCGCTCACGAGGCCGCGCCTATTCCGACGCCGCTGGGTCTGGGCTGCCGGCCCGCCCCCCCCCCCCCCCCCCCCCCCCAGAAACAAAAAAAAAACCCTCCCGCCGCGGCTCGGCAAGTGCAAGATGCGGGGCAATCGCATCCCGCTCGCACCGCAGCAGGGCCCAACGCCCTACCAGCAGGGCCCAACGCCCTACACCCCAGAGCATGAAATTGATCTGCCTGCCGCCGCCTCTGAAGCGCTGGCGGCGCATTTTCGGCTCTGCGATCACTGTGGGAGGGAGGCCTGGGGGGCGGGCGGTCGGCGCCATGGCGAGGCTGGCGGAGCCTTACGGAGGCGCCCGCCTCATCGCACTGGTCAGCAGCATCTGTGGAGCATGGAGTAAGGCTCGGAAGCGTTTGACGTTCGAGTGGCAGGATCGGCGCAGCTGCTCGGAGATCTGGAGCGCTCGGGACGCCTCAGTTCGTCGGGCAGTGCGTTTGCCCGCGACCTCTCTGCCGAGATAGCTGGGTTGGTCGGCGATGTCTCTATGCCTGTGCTGCTCGGCATGGCCAAATGTTTTGATATGACTTATCGGAGCGACTTCTCCAGGAGGCGAGAGCCCTTGACTTCCCCGCGCGCCCTGCTTGGAGGCGAGTGGACTCGCGCAGGCCGCCACGGCGCCTCAAGGCGCCCGGGCCTTTGAGTCGCATGATTTGTCGCGCGCCAGGGCATGCCACTGGCGTGCTGTTCCTTCTAGACTGGCGAGCTGTAAAAGAGGCGCTACATCATTTCTCTGCAAGTGACGCCTCGCGCGCAGGTGGAAGATTTGTCCTTGCAGTTGGCGCCCTCTTCCACGCTGGGGCGCGTGGCTAAGTTTTTCACGGCAGACGCGCTTGATCTCGGCCCCTGGGCGCAAGTCAAGAAGTCTGGCCTTGTGGCTGGCTTCGAAGCAGGCCTCGCGTGCGTGGCCACCGTCGCGGTTCGCCTTGCCCTGCCACTGCGCAGGTGGATGAGGAATCTCGGGCGCGAGCGAGCGGGGGGCCGGGTCATGCGCGCGCAGGAGAAGAAGCGAGCGCAGGCGCTGAAGGGCGGGGGGGAATGTATTGCCCTCGAGCGAGTCAGCAGTGGGTAGACGTGCTGCTGCTCTCTGTCGCGCTGGAGACCTTCCCGCGGTTGGGCGCGGAAGGACAGTGCCATGTGTCTCGGATACCGCCTTGAGATACTTGCGCCACGTGGCTGCCACACTGGTTGCTGGCAAAAGCGGGGGAGGGGGGGGGGGTACTGGATACCTCGCCATGCACGCAGACCCTCTGTGCGACCCGAGTTGCGACTGTACGCTTGGGGCTGTTGTTAAGTATGTTACGTCTGTGTTGGATGGCAAAGTGGACATGAGCAGGGCCCACTGGGCCTGGTTACAGCTATGTGAGACGATGCTGGATAAACAGACGCGGCAGCAAGCCCGAGGGCCGATGTCAGCCGTCTGGCGCGCCCTCTTGCGCATTGGCTGGACGATGGTCAATGCGCATATCCGGCATAATGACACTGGCACGTCCTACTCATTATTGGTCACGCCTTCGTATGGCATCACGCTGACACTCATGGAGGGCATCCAAATTATGGCACCACAAGCACCTATTCAAGCACGTGGGCGTCTCCGACGGCACGGATACTGTATGGCACAGAGCGCTACGTCATGGTATTAAAGGCGTGAAGTGTCCCAATC